ACTTCATTCTATCCCAAGGAAAAAACTTGCCAAGGTCTTGGAAACTCTCATTTTCTCCGTGAGGACATCCGTCGCGAATATGAACTATGCAACCATGGATTGACAGGTACCGTGGTCCACATGAACGCAATAACTTACGGTATAGCGAAAACATCCCGCCGCCTAGGGGGCTGCGTAGGTGGCGAATGGTGAATGCCCCGAGTGGGTCAGATCTTCGTTAACAAGAGCAGAAAACGAGAAATAAGGTGGCATGTGTTTAATGCTCTCCTGTTCGGCATCCACTGCATCTTTGCATGCGGCCTAATTCTGTGTGGTTGGTGGCACGTCAATAGAGTTGTGAGTTGTGGATGATAATCTGCGAAAGGAGTGCGGGTGTTTCATCCAACCTTTCTGTTGTATGAGCTGTGTGCTCGCCAATGACACTCTATGTCCGGTTCAGTACCACCCAGGCGAACTTCCTTCTGTCACCACGATTTTCAAATTGTGGGGGCGGTCAGGCAGCACGGGCTGTCCCGACGATGCTACTTCTTTTGCAGGTAATCACGCACCTGAGAAAACCATGAGCCCGGCTGCTGGAAGCGCAAGGGAATGGCAGCACGAATAGCTACATGTCGTTTCTACTAGAAACCCACACCATTTATATAGAGGGCTACCAATAATCGGCCTACAGTCCACCATTGCTACCTCTTCCATATCTTCTTGTACTGTGTGTCGTGTAGGAGTCATCCCGGAGAAGATCGGAGCTCTGAACAAGATTGAAATTCTTACGCTGAAAGACAACGAGCTTACCGGTGAGTGCAGTGTGACACTTTGGTTTCTGCTGCGTGCGACCCGTCAACTCTTGAAGTGACTAGGCATTCTAGAACTTTGAACATCCCTCACCAGCAGCCTGGTTCTGGTGGAGCTAAAGCACGATCAGCTCTCTCCGAGCACCCAGCTTGGCGGCGATGAAATCTGCAAGAAGCCAGTCGAACACTGGCCAAAGCATTGTTTGTTGTACACCATTTTATGAACTGCGAGAAACAGCATCTAGTTTTAACATGCTCTATTCCAAAACTCGAATCGTATTGAATCATCAATTGCAGGTGAAATTCCGCCGTCGCTCGGAGGGCTTGTCAACCTGAATTTGCTTGACCTCGGTGGAAACAACCTAAGTGGTGAGTGTCCCAGGATTAATCAGGCCGGGCCAAGACCAGTTGCTGATCCGTTTCAAGATGGGTACCGCCAAAAAATGAGTAAGATTGATACGTGCGTTCCTCTTGTTGTGGGGCTTTCCCGAAAACACGTAGTAGAGCTTGTTGGGTTCAAGACAGAGAAACTGGAGCCCCCTGAGATTCGTCAGCTCTTGCGGTACTTGACCCGCGCATAAGTCGACCCACAATTCAAGAAAAAGGTTAACAAATATTTCGTTGATGATGCTCAAGAATATTGTCCACCCACATTTAGGTAGCGTTCATGGTTCAAACCCACACCAAATTTGCTTGCAGGTTCCATCCCCAAGGAGTTAGGAGCCCTTAACGAAGCTCAGACTCTTAAGCTGGGCGATAACGGACTTACAGGTGTG